CGACACCCGATTTGTAAAGCACAAAGGGCGTGGGAGGGTGGAAATTTGTTGTAAGTTGTTAGTAACACAAATACTGGATCATAAAAAGCATCAACATCTTAGATTATATTCTTAGGTGTTTTCGGTAAAGTCACGTAGGTAAAACATCAAAATTAATAAAAATTATAAAATAAAAATAAAGATCACGACGTTTCGGAGGCAACACAAGTCTCCGTCATCAGGTGGGACAGTCACAGCCAGATCAGCTGCATCAAGTGAGGCAATGATTCAAGATGTAATCCCTTAAAAGCGAGTTGAGGGGGGAGGAGAGGGGGGGGAGGGGCTCATCAGAATGTGGTAGCCAATGAATGGAAAGTATCGGGAGAGAAGGGCCAACAAAAAGGTGGGCGACGGCGTGGAAGCTATTGTGCGCAAGCGACAAACTGCTGCCCACGGCAACGCATTGGGCAGAGAGGGGGAGGGGGGAGGTCTGATACACATGATAGAAAAGAAAAGAAAATGCGTATGTTTATACCAATGCTGGCTAAACAATGAAGAGATTACTGTTAAACACTGGGGAAGTTAACACTCGGTCAAGTAAAGTAAACTAGTGTCTGTCAGATAAGATGGTCAAAAAAGTGTAATTAAGTCTTTTTTGCGTGGTTAATAACATCTTTCCAATGATTACTAAGTTTGTACCCATCATCACGGTTGAAATTATGTCTGTGTTTGTATATTTGTATGGCTTCGTGTACAAACCTTTGATGGTAGCCAGGAGGTTTGCAGAGAACCTTGGTCTCGGAAAAGACAATTTCATGAGAGCCCACTGAGTTGTAGCAATGATCGGCAACGGCCGAAGAATTAGTTCTGCCGTGTTTCAGATCTGACTTGTGCTCGCGGACACGATCAGCAACATGGCGTTTCGTTTCTCCAATGTAGCAATCACCACAAATGCAACTCAATTTGTAGACTCCAGGATACTGTAAGTCAGGAACAGCATCCTTCACAGATGGAATCAGATCACGGATTTTATGCACTGTAGTGAATCGGACTTGGATCTTATGTTTGTTTAGAATTTTGGAGATCTTTTTGGTCACGCCTGCTATGAATGGTAACGTGATAGTTTTGGTCGGAGTTTCATGTGGCTGCTTCTGTGTGGTGGGAGAGACAGCTTGGCGGATAGTACGGTCAGAGTATCCGTTCATCCTGAGGGCCCGATGTACATGTCTTAATTCACCGGTCAGGTGGTGTTGGTCAGAAATGCCATGGGCTCTGTGGTATAGCGTTTTGATGAGAGAATTCTTTTGAGATGGGTGGTGGTGGGAATCCGGTTTCAAGTAGGAATCTGTGTGGGTGGCTTTCCTGTAGACAGAATGTCCCAAGGATCCGTCAGGCCTCCTCTCAAACAGAATATCCAAGAATGGTAGTTTACCGTCTTTCTCCACTTCCATGGTGAATCTGATGGATGGGTGTCTAGAATTGATGTGGTCCAAGAAGTGGTTCAGTGCTGGGAGGCCATGTGGCCAGATGACGAAAGTGTCGTCCACATACCTCTTCCACAAGGAAGGACGCAGGGTGGATGTCTGGATGGCGTCTGATTCAAACTTTTCCATGAACATGTTGGCTATAACTGGTGACAAGGGGGAGCCCATAGGGGTACCCTCATTCTGTTTGTAGAAGGTGCCATTCCAGGTAAAATAGGTGTTGGTGAGACAATGCCTAACCAGAGCAGGTACATCAGAATTCAATCCATGTTGGACTAAGTCCTCAATTATTGTTAGGGTGTCCGGTACTGGGACTTTGGTAAACAAAGATACTACATCAAAGCTGACGAGGATGTCATCAGGAGATAGTACCATGTCCTTAACCATAGAGACTAATTGGGTTGAGTTGAGTACTGCCGAAGAGGTCTTGCCTGTGAAGGGGAGCAGAGTGTCTGATAGAAAACGGGCTAGTTTGTACGTAGGAGAGTTTATCGTCGACACGATGGGTCGTAGCGGGGTGCCTTCCTTATGGATTTTGGGAAGACCATAGAGTCTGGGAGGTCTAGCCGCCGATGGTTTTAGAGAGGGACGTTTGCTTGGTTCGATTAGGGAAGTCGAACTCGTGATGATACTGTTGGTTTTCGTCGTTAGGCTTTTAGTAGGATCGTTTTTAATTTTGGAGTAACTCCCATCATTAAGAAGGTCCAGGATTTTGTTGTTGTATGATTCTTTATCCATGATGACCGTGGCATTGCCCTTGTCTGCCGAGAGGATGACTATATCATCTCTCATTTTTAGGTCCGCGAGTTCAGAGCGTTCGTTTTTGCTGATGTTACTAGTGGGTTTCTTAGCATTCTTAAGAATAGTAGCTATTTCAGCTCTTGCTACATCCGCATGGATGTGTCCTATGCCTTGATGCAGCTGATCTGGCTGTGACTGTCCCACCTGATGACGGAGACTTGTGTTGCCTCCGAAACGTCGTGATCTTTATTTTTATTTTATTATTTGTATTAATTTTGATGTTTTACCTACGTGACTTTACCGAAAACACCTAAGAATATGATTCCTTGCAGTCACGAAAGCTTCAAGTCTAGAATCTTAGATTATCATTCGTAAATAGTGGTCATCATTCCCCAATCAGCATTATCAATCATCACCGTAATAATCATCTACATCCTTCGGTTATTCCCTCTATTAAATACACTTTGCATTCTGGATTATTTAATGCCTATTCAATTAAAAAAGAAATCCTTCAATTATTTTGCGCCAATCATAATCTTTATCATCATCCTTTATTTATTATGAATCATCAGAAATGTTCTATTAATTCCCGAATAAAGATCACCATCTCTCATGATCCTGTGATGCAACAATCCACATCAGTTTTTTCAAGGATTCATTATTGATGTCTATATATTGAAGACGCTGCATTAACATCACTTTGTAATGTTTACGACCAAATAACACCGAAGTTCCAGCCACCTGGGTGCATCTTCAACATCATCAGCATCTTTCAAAGGACCGAGTGTCTTCATTAAGAGAACAGATACGCCTAGTCCCGATGTCACGATCATCATTATTACACGCTTTTATTTAACTCTGTTGTATCCTCAACTCTGTCTGTTGTCGTATCCTCAAATCTTGTAACTAAATTTTAACCCCCTTCCCGATGTCGTATCGACTGCAAACTTGGTATACGCATGTCATACTGGTGACACTACTATATTCTATCATTAAAAGTAAAATATATATTTTTAAGCAATCTTTTTGAAATCTTATGTTTCGGCTTGGGTCTAATTGTCCACGCTCAAACTAACGTTGGCTGTAAATCACTACAGTCCTTACGCTATGGCAAGCTTTGGGGCCACTTCCTGGAGTCGTGGAGATCTGCCATTACTCGTACGGTACAATTCATGAAAGTGTGTTTTTTAAAAAGTTTTTTTTATTACTTATTTTCTCGCAAGAACACGTTTGTTGTTACGCATCTATGTAAGTTTGTGCAATCGTAAATGCGCGCGGGCATCCGCTGCGGTGTCGGAGGCGGCTGGTGGAGGATGATGATAATTGTTGGTTCACTGGGTCATCTTGGGAAGTGGGGGACACGGGAGGAAGAGTCGCAGAGAGGAGAAATAAAAGGAGGGTCACGGTGATATCTGCCTTGAGTTGGAGCGAGAGTCGAGCAGAGAGTGAGAGAGACCAGAGAGAAATTACAGAAAGGTAAGTTTGCGTTACGTACACACCTACATAACAACATTCTTCTTGTAAAAGCGAGTCAATCCCAAGACTGGCCTCGGATTTCACTTGCGACTTGTGTTGTGGGCATCTTCATTGCTGTATCAGTGAGCAGTGGCACGGTGGCTTACGCGATGCACTATGAATCCAGCTACCTGAGTTCTATTCCAAACGCAGTAAACTATTATCACCATCATAGACTGAACTACATTCTATCACGAGACACAGATCCAGGCGTGTTTATTTTTGTTGTTGATGCAACAAACCACGGAGCAAGTCCGACTTCTCCGGGACTCGTCAGGACGGAATTCTTTGTTAAACACCTGCCGATGGTTTGCTTGGCTTTGTGGCACGAGTCATCGTGGTCACGAGAAGTTTACTGGTTACCCCGAACCCCGGCAAATCGATTAAACGAAGCGACGAAGCGTGGACACTCGATTTAAGATTTGACGAACATTAGATAAGTAGAAGCATCTATACTCTTAGGTTTTTACGGTAAAGTCACGTAGGTAAAAAATTAAAAATAAGTAATAAAAATAATAGAAATCATACTAGAAATAAAATAATAAATCACGACGTTTCGGAGGCAACACAAGTCTCCGTCATCAGGTGGGACCGTCACAGCTAAATGTATTATTTATTATTTATTTTTTCCTACGTGACTCTACCGAAAAAAACTTAAGAGTATGAATCCTTGCAGTCACGAAAGCTTCAAATCTAGAATTAGAATCATCTAGTGGCAGAACGTGGACGCGAGGAACTATGGCATACAGAATGCATGGGTGGCCTAAAGTCAGGACACGGGGTTATTTATTTTGACGCTGGCCTTAAAATGTTTTGATTGATTATATTCTTTAAGTTATTGCATCTTATTATTTAGATGTATTTTTCCTGTGGGGCCACCTCGAGTTACTGCTCTCCAGTATCCTGCGTGAAAAATTGCCTAAGGTTTGCCCAATCGTGGCTAGCTAATTCAGAAAGTTAATCAATATAATACATAATACAGTCATTCCCCCTTTAACACCGTAGATACGTTTTTGAACAGTGCCGGGTTAATAGAAATACACGTTGAGCGCAGCTATTTCCTCATAAGCAATGTAACAATATAGTTTGGCGATATACGGTGTACCCACACATCGTAAGGCGGGACATCATTGAGTGTACGCCGCCATGTGTCCGTTTCAATCCACGTACCAATTCCGCTCTGCTTAGAAACCGCGTTATAACGGCGCGCGTTCCGCGTTATAGCAGTAATTCCTGTACTTTCTGTACTGCCATGTCTAGTTTACAAATATTGACATAATCCAACCTTCAGGTCCAAGGTGATGAGTTACAGGTGTGCACCACCAAATGTATCTTAATATATCCCTTACATGATGACGACATTGGTGGCAAGGTGTTACATATGTCTTACGATTATTATGACGATCTCTCTCAGGAGTCTACAGCATCACTATTCCCATCAGAATGACCGCCACCACCCATCTACCCAGCTCCCTCTTCTCTCTGAAACCACAGTCCAACTGGAACTCCACTGCTTGGGATTCGCCGTTGATCACCAACAGCACGGAGGAGCCGTCAGAAATCTACAAACTCAAGTACGTGTATATAACCGTCTACACCATCATCTTCGTCCTGGGCAGCGTCGGCAACTTCTTGGTCATCTGGATCCTGGGCTTCAAGATGAAGCGCACGGTGGTGACCCTCTTCTTCCTGCACCTGTCCATCGCCGACTTCATCTTTATGCTGCAGATCCCAGTGGCCATTGCCCCCATCGCTATGGACTCGCACTGGGCGATGGGCACGGCCATGTGCAAGCTGATCTCGTTCGGTAACTTCGTGAACATGAACGCCAGCGTCTACTTCTTGACGCTCATCAGCCTCGACCGCTACGCCGCTCTGCTGCACCCCGTGTCCTCGCTGCCCCTGCGTCGCCTGCGCGTGGCCCGGTGGCTCTGCCTGGCCGTGTGGCTCCTCGCCCTGCTGCTGAGCCTCCCGTCTCTCATCTTCCGCGCGACGATTGAGGCCAGCGGCGCCATAATCTGCTACAATGGCTACGGTGACAGCTTCGAAGAGCAGACGTGGAACATCACGGCCGTGAACATCTGTCGGGTAGTCCTGGGCTTCGCCATTCCTTACGCCGTCATGATCTTCTGCTACTGTCGCATCGGGGCGAGGCTGCAGCACGTAGACAAGACGCGTCGCGGCAACTCGCTCAGAATCATCGTGGTCGTGGTCGTGGTCTTCGTCGTCTGCTGGGCGCCGTACCACGCCATCGGACTGCTGGAAGCCGCCTCCTTCATTAAGCACGATTTTGAGATGTTTGAGACGTCACAAAAAGCCATTCCTGTGGTGGCGGGTCTAATGTCCTTCAACAGCTGCATCAACCCGATCCTCTACGTGTTCAGCGGCTCGCATCTCAAAACCCAGTTCAGGCGCTCGCTCGTCGCTGCCATCGAGAACGCGTTCAGAGACCACGAGCCGTTGGATTCGGGGCAGGACAGCGGGAGTGGACTCAGGGCGCAGTCGCGGGATGTCATCAACCTCAGCATCAAGCTCAGCAGCAACACCAGTGGCAACCTGGAGGGCAGCCACGGTGACGTGGCGACCGTTGCCGTGGTGCATGAGGAGCAGGTGTAGGGGTGGCCACGGGGAGGAGGACGCGACACGCGCCCGTGGAGAGGAGGGAAGAGTGGGCGAGCGGTGCATGGGGTGGCGGAGTGGAGAGGCGGAGTGGGGGAAGAGTGGTAGGGCAGGGGACTGATGGAGCGAAGGTGAGAAGAGATGATAGGAGCGGACGAGAGAAAGCGGAGAGACGAGAAGAGAAACGCGTCTTCTGGGCCTGGCCGAGGTGGCTCCACTTGCTGAGGCTTGCTTCGCAGCAGCCGGCACCTGTCCAAAAGTGTTTCAGCCATCGCCGGATGATTGCCTGTGGTTCTTCTGAGCCCTGTGAAAAAAGACGAGAGATACCTAAGTGACAGCAACGATGAGGAGATTGTAGGCGAAGAGAGGGGAGCGGTGCTTGTTCTTGATGGCGCGTAATTATCTGCGAGCTTATCGCTTCATGAAGCAGTCCCCCTCCATAACCTCCTTCCATTCCCCATTCTCATCCCTCCCCTCGCCCCTCCACTCCTTCCCGTACCTCCCTCCATCGCAGTCACTCATTCCTCATCCCTTGCACGCCCCTGCTTTCCACAGCGTTATTTTATTACACAGTGTCTTTTTTTAACTATGTTACCTGTACCGCTTAAAATGTTCATTTATCCAGAGAGTAAAGATTGATTTATTATATATTTTAACAATGCTTTGCGATCATGTGTTAACCTAGCCCGACCTTTGTACCAAATGACCCGCGCATTGGAGGCAAATGAAACGTCACAACGGAGAGCTTCAGTGTTGCTTTGATTTGTTACGCGGATGAAGTTCCCGTTTCGCCAGTCGTGCGGCAATTTAACACGGGAGATCCGTGGCGCTGCGTCAACGCAGCGGCAACAACAAACACAAGAGACAACAACAATGACATTGCACAGAAAGAGTACAGCAGGGTCCTTAAGGAATGTTGCACGACTAACAAACACGATAACAATTTTTAACGGTTGTTAACGAATCACACGAGAATGTAAAAAATAAAATCTTCAAATATTTTTTTTTCATTCGCTCAAAATTCAAACGACCACAAAATTATCATGAGTTAAAATATATCTGTAAAAATTTACTAACATGAAAAAAATATCTGAGGTCTAAGCGAGGCGCTGGCGGGTTGGCCTCACCTCAGAGTCGGGGTGAATGTACAAGACGAGTGTGAGGGCGAGTGTTAGGGCGAGTGTGTGGGCGAGTGTGAGGGCGAGTGTGTGGGCGAGTGTGTGGGCGAGTGTGTGGGCGAGTGTTAGGGCGAGTGTTAGGGCGAGTGTGTGGGCGAGTGTTAGGGCGAGTGTGAGGGCGAGTGTGTGGGCGAGTGTGTGGGCGAGTGTTAGGGCGAGTGTGAGGGCGAGTGTGTGGGCGAGTGTTAGGGCGAGTGTGAGGGCGAGTGTGTGGGCGAGTGTGTGGGCGAGTGTTAGGGCGAGTGTGAGGGCGAGTGTGTGGGCGAGTGTTAGGGCGAGTGTTAGGGCGAGTGTGTGGGCGAGTGTTAGGGCGAGTGTGAGGGCGAGTGTGTGGGCGAGTGTGTGGGCGAGTGTTAGGGCGAGTGTTAGGGCGAGTGGTGTGGGCGAGTGTTAGGGCGAGTGTGAGGCGAGTGTGTGGGCGAGTTGTGGGAGTGTGTTGGGCGAGTGTGAGGGCGAGTGTGTGGGCGAGTGTTAGGGCGGCGTGTGAGGGCGAGTGTGTGGGCGTGTGTGGGCGAGTGTAGGGCGAGTGTTAGGGGCGATGTTGTGGCGAGTGTGTGGGCGAGTGTAGGGCGAGTGTGAGGGCGAGTGGGTGGGCGAGTGTGTGGGCGAGTGTAGGGCGAGTGTGAGGGCGAGTGTGTGGCGAGTGGGGGCGAGTGTTAGGACGAGTGTGTGGGCGGTGTGAGGGCGAGTGTGTGGGCGAGTGTGTGGAGTGTTGAGGGGAGTGTGAGGGCGAGTGTGTGGGCGAGTGTGTGGGCGAGTGTAGGGCGAGTGTGAGGCGAGTGTGTGGGCGAGTGTGTGGGCGAGTGTTAGGGAGAGTGGAGGCGAGTGTGTGGGCGAGTGTGTGGGCGAGTGTTAGGACGGTTGTGTGGGCGAGTGTGAGGGGCAGTGTGTGGGCGAGTGTGGGGCGAGTGTGTGGGGCGAGTGTGATGGGCGAGTGTGTAGGGCGAGTGTGAGGGCGAGTGTGTGGGCGAGTGTGTGGGCGAGTGTGTGGGCGAGTGTGTGGGCGAGTGGTGAGGGACGAGTGGTGTTGGCGAGTGTGGGGCGAGTGTGTAGGGCGAGTGTGAGGGCGAGTGTGAGGGCGAGTGTGTGGGCGAGTGTGATGGGCGAGTGTGAGGGCGAGTGTGTGGGCGTAGTGTGTGGCGAGTGTGTGGGCTAGTGTGAGGGCGAGTGGTGGGGCGAGTGTGAGGGCGAGTGTGTGGGCGAGTGTGAGGGGCGAGTGTGAGGGCGAGTGTGTGGGCGAGTGTGTGGGCGAGTGTTTAGGGCGAGTGTGAGGGCGAGTGTGTGGGCGAGTGTGTGGGCGAGGTGTTAGGGCGAGTGTGAGGGCGAGTGTGTGGGCGAGTGTGTGGGCGAGTGTTAGGACGAGTGTGTGGGCGAGTGTGAGGGCGAGTGTGTGGGCGAGTGTGTGGGCGAGTGTGAGGGCGAGTGTGTGGGCGAGTGTGTGGGCGAGTGTTAGGGCGAGTGTGAGGGCGAGTGTGTGGGCGAGTGTGTGGGCGAGTGTTAGGGCGAGTGTGAGGGCGAGTGTGTGGGCGAGTGTGTGGGCGAGTGTTAGGGCGAGTGTGTGGGCGAGTGTGAGGGCGAGTGTGTGGGCGAGTGTGTGGGCGAGTGTGAGGGCGAGTGTGTGGGCGAGTGTGAGGGCGAGTGTGTGGGCGAGTGTGTGGGCGAGTGTTAGGGCGAGTGTGAGGGCGAGTGTGTGGGGTGAGTGTGGGCGAGTGTTAGGGCGAGTGTGTGGGCGAGTGTGTGGGCGAGTGTTAGGGCGAGTGTGAGGGCGAGTGTGAGGGCGAGTGTGAGGGCGAGTGTGAGGGCGAGTGTGAGGGCGAGTGTGAGGGCGAGTGTGTGGGCGAGTGTCAGGGCGAGTGTGTGGGCGAGTGTGCGGGCGAGTGTGAGGGCGAGTGTGAGGGCGAGTGTTTGGGCGAGTGTGTGGGGCGAGTGTTAGGGCGAGTGTGGTGGGGCGAGTGTGGGCGAGTGTTAGGGCGAGTGTGTAGGGCGATGTGGAGGGCGAGTGTGAGGGCGAGTGTGTAGGGCGAGTGTGAGGGCGATGTGTGGGGCGAGTGTTAGGGCGAGTGTGTGGGCGAGTGTGAGGGCGAGTGTGAGGGCGAGTGGTGAGGGCGATTGTGTGGGCGAGTGTGAGGGCGAAGTTGTGAGGGCGAGTGTGTGGGCGAGTGTGAGGGCGAGTGTGTGGGCGAGTGTGTGGCGAGTGTGAGGGCGAGTGTGTGGGCGAGTGTGTGGGCGAGTGTTAGGGCGAGTGTGAGGGCGAGTGTGTAGGGCGAGTGTGGGGCGAGTGGGTGGGCGAGTGTGAGGGCGAGTGTGGAGGGCGAGTGTGTGGGCGAGTGTGTGGGCGAGTGTTAGGGCAAGAGTGTGAGGGCGAGTGTGTGGGCGAGTGTGTGGGCGAGTGTGTGAGGGCGAGTGTGTGGGCGAGTGTGAGGGCGAGTGTGTGGGCGAGTGTGTGGGGCGAGTGTTAGGGCGAGTGTGAGGGCGAGTTTGTGGGCGAGTGTGTGGGCGAGTGTTAGGGCGAGTGTGTGGGCGAGTGTGTGGCGAGTGTTAGGGCGAGTGTGAGGGCGAGTGTGAGGGCGAGTGTGAGGGCGAGTGTGAGGGCGAGTGTGAGGGCGAGTGTGAGGGCGAGTGTGTGGGCGAGTGTTAGGGCGAGTGTGTGGGCGAGTGTGAGGGCGAGTGTGAGGGCGAGTGTGAGGGCGAGTGTGTGGGCGAGTGTTAGGGCGAGTGTGTGGGCGAGTGTGTGGGGCGAGTGTTAGGGCGAGTGTGAGGGCGAGTGTGAGGGCGAGTGTGAGGGCGAGTGTGAGGGCGAGTGTGTGGGCGAGTGTTAGGGCGAGTGGTTGTGGGCGAGTGTGAGGGCGAGTGTTGAGGGCGAGTGTGAGGGCGAGTGTGTGGGCGAGTGTGAGGGCGAGTGTGAGGGCGAGTGTGTGGGCGAGTGTGAGGGCGAGTGTGTGGGCGAGTGTGTGGGCGAGTGTGAGGGCGAGTGTGAGGGCGAGTGTGAGGGCGAGTGTGTGGGCGAGTGTTAGGGCGAGTGTGTGGGCGAGTGTGAGGGCGAGTGTGAGGGCGAGTGTGAGGGCGAGTGTGTGGGCGAGTGTGAGGGCGAGTGTGAGGGCGAGTGTGAGGGCGAGTGTGTGGGCGAGTGTGAGGGCGAGTGTGTGGGCGAGTGTGTGGGCGAGTGTTAGGGCGAGTGTGAGGGCGAGTGTGTGGGCGAGTGTGTGGGCGAGTGTTAGGGCGAGTGTGAGGGCGAGTGTGTGGGCGAGTGTGTGGGCGAGTGTTAGGGCGAGTGTGAGGGCGAGTGTGTGGGCGAGTGTGTGGGCGAGTGTTAGGGCGAGTGTGTGGGCGGAGGCGAGTGTGTGGGCGAGTGTGTGGCGAGTGTGAGGGCGAGTGTGTGGGCGAGTGTGAGGGCGAGGTGTGGGCGAGTGTGAGGGCGAGTGGGGCGAGTGTGGGGCGAGTGTTAGGGCGAGTGTGAGGGCGAGTGTGTGGGCGAGTGTGTGGGCGAGTGTTAGGGCGAGTGTGTGGGCGAGTGTGTGGGCGAGTGTTAGGGCGAGTGTGAGGGCGAGTGTGAGGGCGAGTGTGAGGGCGAGTGTGAGGGCGAGTGTGAGGGCGAGTGTGTGGGCGAGTGTTAGGGCGAGTGTGTGGGCGAGTGTGAGGGCGAGTGTGAGGGCGAGTGTGAGGGCGAGTGTGAGGGCGAGTGTGTGGGCGAGTGTTAGGGCGAGTGTGTGGGCGAGTGTGTGGGCGAGTGTTAGGGCGAGTGTGAGGGCGAGTGTGAGGGCGAGTGTGAGGGCGAGTGTGAGGGCGAGTGTGAGGGCGAGTGTGAGGGCGAGTGTGTGGGCGAGTGTTAGGGCGAGTGTGTGGGCGAGTGTGAGGGCGAGTGTGAGGGGCGAGTGTGAGGGCGAGTGTGTGGGCGAGTGTGAGGGCGAGTGTGAGGGCGAGTGTGTGGGCGAGTGTGAGGGCGAGTGTGTGGGCGAGTGTGTGGGCGAGTGTGAGGGCGAGTGTGAGGGCGAGTGTGAGGGCGAGTGTGTGGGCGAGTGTTAGGGCGAGTGTGTGGGCGAGTGTGAGGGCGAGTGTGAGGGCGAGTGTGAGGGCGAGTGTGTGGGCGAGTGTGAGGGCGAGTGTGAGGGCGAGTGTGAGGGCGAGTGTGTGGGCGAGTGTGAGGGCGAGTGTGAGGGCGAGTGTGTGGGCGAGTGTGTGGGCGAGTGTGAGGGCGAGTGTGTGGGCGAGTGTGAGGGCGAGTGTGAGGGCGAGTGTGTGGGCGAGTGTGAGGGCGAGTGTGTGGGCGAGTGTGTGGGCGAGTGTGAGGGCGAGTGTGTGGGCGAGTGTGAGGGCGAGTGTGAGGGCGAGTGTGTGGGCGAGTGTGTGGGCGAGTGTGAGAGGTGCGCTGAATGGATATTCAGTTTAACACGCAGCAGGCTTTCGCGACGGATATCATCCATAATAGAGGTCTTTTGGGTTAGATTGCCTAAATATTGAAATGTGTCGTTAAAACCCGCC